GCACTTGCGACCACTCGGCAGAAATCTTACTATTTTTTTTTTCGTTTCGTTTATCGTTGGGGATTCAGGGATTGGGGAGATTGGGGAAGGGGAGGGTAATTGGGCCTCTATTATTATATTATAAATGTTTTTTCTATTACATTATAAATGCGTGTATGTGAGTCTGTGTGTATGTTTGCTACTTAATCACGACAAAACGACTTGAGGCATCGAGATTTGGTGTAGAGATAGATTAACGCCTGGAATAACACAGGCCTAACCATCCACCACTTAAAAATCTATATATACTAGCGTCTGCCCGCGACTTCGTACGCGTATAATCCCGAATTGTTGAAGCCACCACTTGAACGTATAAATAAAAATTCATTCAATTCAGCCGACTGCAGTGCCATCTGCCGGGCTGATTTGTGAATCTAAACCATCCAGGGCGCCACTCAAAACGCATACAGAAAAATTCACTTAAATCGGTCCAGCCGTTTAGGGGGAGTTCAATCACATACACACGTACAGCAGAATTATAAATATAAAGATAAAAATGAAACCCGTTTCCCGTCGTCACGCCATAACTCGAGAATGGCTTGACCGATTTGGCTGATGTTTTTTTGCTGTGTTTGTTATTGTCAGCAGAAGGTTCTTATGATAGAAAAAAAATCCTGAAAATGTTATGGGAACGGGAGAAAACGGGATTGCGCGTACGAAGTCGCGGGCAGAAGCTAGTATATTTTATGTGTCAACTACCAAATTCATTAACATTTTAACACAATTTTTATAAACACAGGCAGTCGTGCGGGTGGTCTGATAGCGGCGTGCTGGGCGACTATGATGTATGTTGGCAAGGCGCGGTATGTCACCATGACTGACGAGATCATCAAGACTGCCAGACATATCGAGGAAGAGTAAGTTTTACTTTTTATACATTACAAGCAAAAGACATTGTTTGCCATCTTGTTTCTTTTAAGGGTCCATAGAATCTTGGATCTAAAATATCCAAGGTTCCTTTGAATCTACATTGTAATCTTTCTTCTATTGTAATCTACATTGTAATCTTCATTCTAATCGAAATTGTAATTGTAAATAAGAAGTAGTTAATATAATTACCTTTTTTTTGAGGGGGAAAATCATCCAATGACTTCATCTCCCGCCTTGAGAGAGAGTGTCAGACTCTTACTGACTAAAACCCACCCTGTTCCTACTCCTGCTCTTCGAGCCGGAGCCTCGGCAACAGTTAATATAAGTGTAAACCTTAAAGTTAGACTTTGAATACCTCCTAAAGTTAACAGTAGACCTACTTGGATTTAAAACTAAGTTGATGTCTTACGTTTGTGTAGTTTTTTAATGTTACTTTGCTCATTAATAGTAAACCAACAGGATTTACTCGAGCCCCTGTCACTACTCATGCAATATAATCTATACAGATAAATAAACTTGGGTTTTCTGTTTGTTATTAACATAATCGATTCTTACTATACCCTACTATACGCTTACCAACGATACACATACCAAAATCACATGTATGTCTGTCTGTCTGTTTGTACTGACTTATCTCTGGAATGGCTGGAGCAATTTTGACGGGAGTTTTTTTGGCAGCTAGCTGATGTACTAAGGAGTAACATAGGCTACTTTTATTTTGGAAAATGGAAGCAAAATAAAAGTTATGTCCTAAAATTCATTCATTCATATTCTACGCAGACGAAGTCGCGGGCAACATCTAGTTAATAAATAAAACTTGATTTTTAAGACTTTGAATGCCAATAAAAAACTGTTGCAGGTAAATCCTCCGCTAACGCCGGTCACCGGTGACCCCCATGGCGTTTAACGTGTTAAGTACAGTTGATGTTAGTTTAATTATTTGTTATCTACAGGGTGCGTAAGATCCCAGGTCTCTTCGTGTTTGGCAAACCGGCAACGTCAGTAATAGCGTTCGGATCAAACCAGTTTGACATATTCAAGATGGCTGAACTACTACACAAAAAGGGGTGGAGCTTAAACGCTTTACAGTTCCCGTCTGGGTAAGTAACTACTTTAAATAGTATGTAGTGCAAGAATTTTAGAATATATTTAGAATTATTTTGTAGCTGATCGACGCTGCTAGTAAATAATTTGGAAAGACTGTGTGAAAAATTATGTGAAAGAACAATTATAATACGGTAAGATTTGAGAACTAGTTTAAGATTTGAGAATTTGAGAACTAGTCAAATTCAATATATTTTTCGAACTGTCAAAAACGATACTTTTCTATGGTTTTTGTACGATATTGTAAATTGTGACGTCACGTTTTTCTAGCGTCAAACAGCGTACTTATTTCTTAAAAAATTAAAATACTAAAATTAAGTTGATCATAAAAGCAATTAATGAAAGTGTGGTTATTTTTAAATATTTTATTGTATAGAACAGTCGAAATAATTTATTTTTGACTAAGGAAAGTACCCAATTTATTTGATGTCATTGGTTATGTGACAGAAGAAAATCTTAATGTGTAGCGACTGAGGCGAGGTTAAAAAAGAGAAATAAAACTCTTTGGCTACTGTTAAATATGTTTGTAAATATTATTATCTTTTGTTAGTTACATTAACAGCCTGATACGGTCACCTACAGTCATCGCTTCCCTTACCACTAGTCGAGTTGATGGCCAAACGCCATCCTATTAACGACAATAAAAACAAAACTACTAGCTATGCTTCTTTTCTACGTAAGAGGGTTTATCATAACCACAATTTTTTACATAACATAACGTCACGCCTTTTATCAACACTGTACAATGTAACACCTACCTCACTATTTATGTTATGAGTCCCATGTAAGAGGGGGGAAGCCTATTGCCATATACCGGGCACAATTCCAGACTCCGTGCTACTACTGATGATTTTTAATAACCCAGTAATATTTTGTCCGACCCGGGAATCGAAGCCGAGACCCCTTGCCCGGCAGTCGCACTTGTGACCACTTGACCAACGAGGCCTTTTATTAGTTATCCTAAATAAAAATAATGTAATGTGTGTATGTCCCAGTATCCACATCTGCGTGACGCACGCGCACACCCAGACGGGCGTGGCGGCGCGGTTCCTGCAGGACATGCGGGCCGCCGCCGCGGACTGTCTGGCCAACTCTAACGCACCCGTCGAGGGGAAGGTATGTAGCATCTACTATTATTGTTTATTAATATTTAATAGTAGACTGAAGGAGCAATATTCGATACATTTGAAACTGATGGTAAACAATCGGCCCCGCACATGATCACCTCCTGCTGCAGCAGTAAGAGTTATAAATTCGAGGCCGATCTTTTAGAGATTGCGAATTGGAAATTGGGGATTGGATATGAGAAATTGCAGATTGGGGATTGGGGATTGGGGATTTCGGATTGGGGATTTGGGGTTGGGATTGGGGATTGGGATTGGGGATTGGGGATTGGGGATTGGGGATTGGGGATTGGGGATTGGGATTAGAGATTGAAGTTTGGAGATTAGAGATTGGAGATGGTAGCAACGTTCTGGGTTTTCGCTAACCTCACTGACAATGACTCTTAAAGTTAATCTTGTTTTCTCAGATGGCAATATACGGCGTAGCTCAAGAGATATCGGACAGGAGTTTGGTATCAGACATCACGAAGTACTTCATAGACTCCATGTACTACCTACCTAAGGCAGACGACTAGTATAACTTGGTCTACATCACGAAAGTACCTTATAATTGCGGCCATAGTTTTCATTAGGCTATAATTACTCTCTACATGTATGTATTGGTACAATGTTTTTAAAATATGCTTAGATATGAAGTATGAGATGTTGGTAAGTAGTCAAATTCAATACTTATTTTCAAATGTCGACAAACGTTTCTATGAGTATCATACTTTACATATATTTCTCTTAAATAAGATTGAAAAACGCTAAAGGGGCCGGTCAATTATTAAGTAAGCACCATGGGGGTGGGGGGGGGTCTCTGTTTTGCTTATTTCGAATGATATGGGGGGTAGGGGAGTCTAGATGATGATTACGTCATCGGTAGTTATTTACTTTTTTACACGAACGGCAACCCTCATATTGAAATTATAAATTACAAGCAAAGACCGACAAAGAACTAGACATTATGGTACCTAAGAGAATATTAAAATTATAATATAAAAAAGATATAATTTAAAATGTTTACGTAAGCAAAGGGGGAGGGGTAAGATCTTTGCTTACTTTTGCTGACAAGGGGGATGGGGTAAGATCTTTGCTTACTTTTGCTGACAAGGGGGATGGGGGGATAAATAATTGTAAAAAATCTGCTTACGTAATATTTGAACGGCCCCAAAGTTAAATCGCTTAGTGAGAGTACATTTATTTTTACTGAATAATCTATCTATATAAATAAAAATGAATTTCAGTTCGTTAGTCTCGCTGAAACTCGAGAACGGTTGGACCGATTTGCCTAAATTCATCTTGAAATCTTCGTGGAATAGGGTAGATGCCTAATTTTTATTTTAATGTCCGGCTGGTAGATTATTTCAAATCATTAAACACGTATTTTGTATTTTCTTACAGAAACGAATACTTTCGACAATATACTGATTTGAAATGTCGCGTGTCCTCACTTCTATGTAAAGTCAAAGGTCAAAAGTGACACCGTGATCACCGTGAGTGATGTTCACACGGCAATGCGTAAGTAATTTCATATTAATGTACATAACAACGCGTGCGTATGTTAATGCGTACGCACACGGATACAAATATGCGTGTGCATGTGTGTATAAGCAACCGATAGTGGTCTTACGGTGGCAGTGGACTTTTGACCTTTGACCGTACATTTTATACCTAGAAATGACGTTTTAGCCCCCACACCTAAACTTGGATTCGTTTTATCTAAGTATTGTTTTATTATACGACAAAATAAAAAAATACGTGTCTAATATTTTTTCATTACCTAACTTACGGACTAATTAGAGCGGTACGAACTTTACCGGGTCAGCAAGTTTGTTATATTTTTTGGTATAATAGACAAATAGTTTATTTTTGACAGTCATCATCTCTATACTATGTTTAGTAGCAATTTGCCCTGTCACGGTATTGGCTGTGGTTGCACGATATTTTCCTATGTCTTCCTTATTAGTATGTATCCTAATAATTTTACACTTTTTTGTCCTACAAAAATATTTAACTGCTATAAGTTCTTTTCTGTATCTTTTTCAGCATTTTCTATTGTTTACGGTGTATGTGAAATCATGTTTTTTTTTGTATATCAGGTGATGTTGAGAGTATTTTTTTGATAATGTCCATCTAGTCTAATATGGAATTGGTTGCCATTTTTCAGCAGTCTGCATTTGACGATTTTTTTAAATATTTTTTTTATATAAAATATGATTCATCAATTCATTATGCAATTGTAATTATAATGATTATCTTTGTAATCACATTTTGTAAGTACGTAGGCAACGAACGAATAATGTTGTAATGTTGTAATCACAATTTGAAATTATTTTGATTTAATGTTAAGTATTTTGTATATAAATGGAGTTATGTAAATTACGGATCATTTCTTTGAGGTTATTGTGATGGTTGTATATTTTGTTTATGTTTTAATATATTTAAAATAAAGGGAAATTACATTATTTTGTTTTTTATTTACGATATTTGAGGTGTTTTTTTTTCAGCCTCGTTGGTAATAGTAGTTGCTCGACTGCCGACGAGTATATCCCCAAATTGAGAATCACACTAATATTATAAATCTGAAAGTTTCTTTGTTTGAATGTTTGTCCGTCAATCACGCTGAAACTACTGAATGGATTTTAATGAAATTTGGTGTACAGGCAGCATATGGGCTGACTGAGGTGATAGGAAACTTTATCCCGATTAAATGCTCCCATGGGATAATACAGTAATACGCGGGCAAAGCCGCGGGTAAACGCTGGTTATAAATAATTTGGGAAAAATGGTCAATCGTCGAATCCATCTTGGATAGAGTTATACTAGATGTTTCTTTGCTGGATCGAATCAGAAATGCTGATCTACATCACATACTAATATACACCGGACTACTACAGAAAACACTGCTTCGTGCATGCGCCAATCAAGCACCTAGAAAAAACGGCGCTAACAATGTAATCAAAATTTACACAGAAATGAAACCTTAGTCCATTAAACTTCTCTTCACTATAAAAAAAAACAAGGAACGAAAACTGCAACTTGTCAAAATTGTACCGGTGACAGAAAGAGTAAAGTAAGCAAATAGAAAAATGTTTAAAATTATACGTTTAACGTGATAAAATGCTCGGCGTAGTGGTCGTATTGTGCGGTCTACTCGCACTCGGTGCCCCCAGCTCCGTCAACTACTGCGGCGCCAAGATGTGTGGAAACACCAACGCACATACATTCTGCCAGTTCCCTGTAAGTAATTATTGCACCAACAAAAACATCAACAGCTAGTAATAGTTGCACGGTTGGTGCGGTGGCTGGGCAACTGGCTGCCGCGCAATGTGTCGCGGGTTCGATTCCCGCACGGAACAACTCTGTGTGATCCACTAATTTTTGTACCGGGTCTGAGTGTCATATGTATGTGAACTTGTAGGTATGTTCGTAAACGCACCCACGACACCGGAGAAAATACTAGTGTGGGCCAACGTTCTTTTTTTTAAAGTAAATAAAAATAAATTAAAAAAATAGACTGATACTAAACTCCTTTACAAAATAATGTTAGCCCGCCAGGCACGACGCACGACCATGTTAACCGATCGGAGGATCTGGCTTTTTTTCGATCTTAGGGAATATTTACCAAGGTACCTGTTCCGTGAACTATCGTAGTATGCCTATATATCGATTTTTCATTAATGAAGAATTGCTCAAATGTGTTCACACTTCACGAATACAACGATATAGGGAGGTGTGATATTTTATTCTTCCGGCTTTTCCCTATTTTAAAGGTCAATACTATAATGACTGCCTGCGATGGTCGCAAGTGCGACTGCCAGGCAAGGGGTCTCGGGTTCGATTCCCGGGTCGGACAAATACTACTGGGTTTTTTAAAAAAGATCTCAGTAGTAGCACGGAGTCCGGTCCGGTCTGTATATGGCAATGGGTTCACTCCATATTACATGGGACATAATATTAATAGTGAAAAGTGGGTGTTACCTCTGTGTGCACCTCTGCCTACACCTTCAGGCATAAAAGGCGTGATGTTATGTTATGTGTTTAATAACGAATTATTCTGTGAACTGCATAGGAAGGTCCCAGCCCAGACTGCGTGGGTTACATAGAAGCCAAGCTCGAACCTGATGAGAAGACGAGACTATTGGACCGGCTCAACAGTCGAAGGAATGAGGCAGCCGGCGGTTTGCGAAGCTTCCCCCCAGCTGGAAACATGCTCACGCTGGTACGATAATGGCCTTTTGTGCAAAAATTTCTATAACACGAAGTGTTTCTTTAGACGATTTTGTTTAGAGTTCCACAACTTAATGTTACTAAAATTATTTTTTTTATGGGATAAGCCGGTATACGAGCAGACGGATCACCTGATGGTAAGCAATCGGCGTCGCCCATGGACACCTGGAACACCAGGGGCGTTACAAGTGCGTTACTGGCCTTTTGGGATTACGAATTTGAGGATTGTGGAGGATTCGGGGATTAGCAAAACTGGGGAGGAGAGGTAATTGGGCCTCCGATAACCCCAACTACTTCTTCAAACGATTTTGTTAAGATTTCCACAACTTAATGCTGATAGTAAAATTCTAACTACCACGATTCTCTATTCTCTAACAAAGGCATTTTATAATGGTAGGTGTATGTATACCTACCTACGTGGTTTTGTTGTTTGCTAGCGTTGGGTTGATGAGCTGGCTCGTGAAGCCCAGCGCTGGGCAGACCAGTGTCGTCCGCCGCGGCCGCTTGAAGAACACGATGCATGTCGTAATCTATGTAAGTGATTACCTACAACATAAAAACATTATCACAGTTCATCTTATGACAAATAAATCACTTCTGCAATACCTAGGTAAACCGTAAGTTGTACAGTGCTAGGTTAGACTATGTTAGTCAGGCGGGAGTAGGCGTTAGCGTAGTGTTCCACGCGCGCTACTCGAAGAAGGGAAGCAGCCTCCTAGGGCCGCTAAGGCGGCGGGACTTGCCGCTAACATAGCGGTAGGTCGAGGCCTGCCGGGTGTGGTGATTCCGTAAGGGCAACCCGGATCACGGTCACAGGCAGTGACGGAACACCGCGGTGGTTTTAGCCGGTAAGAGTCCGGCACGCGCCCCAGTCGTCCCCACGGGGCGTGGGTAGTCCAAGAGGATTTTCATCGCGATAGAAAAAGAAAAGGAGACTATGTTAGTCAGTTATCACAAAACAACTGAACCAAATGCATCCAACAGAATGGAAAAATGATGTTAGGTAAAAATTACGAAAGAAATCAAGAAAAAAATTATAACTCGAAAACTATGCAAAATCGTAGAACATACATCGGGGTGAATTGGATATTCCTCATCATAAAGTATCAAAAATTACGGTTGAACCTCAAGTCCCCGGCCACCCTGTATAGGTATATTCTTTCTAATTTGTATGGGACTATGCTGTACCAACCAACTTAGGACCTAAGCTAGTCTGTTGACTAACAATGGGACTGGTTTAGGAAGGCACTACCTACTAAAGATTAGAGGCATCAAGTAACCAAACATGCCCTAAGTATAGTAATATAAAAGCTTAAATCTTATTGTGATTTATCATCAGATTCGCTGACTGTCGGTCAATGTGTGGCGTCGGTAGTGGGCGAAGCGCCAGGACTTCGAGTGGAGTCCATGGTTGACATATGGAACATACAAAGCATGCAGTACAAGGGCAATGTTACCTTCTATATGCCGTGAGTTTCAATTTATTTTAATTACTAACGTCATTTAAGTCTATGTACCTAATTGGAATATGAAAATTAAAAATCTATTTAGTCCGTAAGTTAGATAATGAAAAATCATTAGACACGTATGCTTTTATTTTGTTGTATAATAAAATAATACTTAGATAAAACGAATCAAAGTTTAGGAGTGGGGGCTAAAACGTCATCTCTCCTACAATGTACATAGAAGTGACGTCACGCGACATTTCAAATCAATATATCGTCGAAAGTATTCGTTTCTGTAAGAAAATAAAAAATACGTGTCTAATGATTTAAAATAATCTACTAGACGGACATTAAAATAAAAATTAGGCATCTACCCTATTACAGTCTTTTACCCAACATAGATAATTATTGTCAGTTGAACTATCATTTCTTTTGCATCTGTTGCCATTGGTAAGGTATTATTGGTAGAGGTATAGAATGGATATAGTAATAGTGCGACAAAACACTGTCACTTTACTACTATTTTTGGAGAATAGTAATAACCTATTGTCTGTCTTGTTATAGTCCAGGTATCGGTGGCAAATACTATGGTGACTTTGCTCAGATTATTTGGGCAAAGAGCTATATGGTGGGCTGTGGTCGCAGTCGATTTATGGTAAGTGAATTTTATTGTGAAATTACGTTAACTTTTCGGTGAAGCATATGTAACATGTAATATACTTTATTTGTATTCTTTATCAGACGCCTTGGCAAGGTCGCCTTCGAAGTGTGGAGCGTCTAGTCTGCAACATAGCACCGTTCGGACCCCAGCCGACGCGCCCATTATGGGCTCCAGCCGCACCAACTGCTTCCTGCCCACATCGTTCAGCGCAATCTCCCAAATGGCCTAACCTTTGTGATTACCGTTAGTATCTTACTGGTGTAATAACTAGAAATAACGTATTTGTGTTAAATATAGAAACAATCAAAACAAGATACGAAATTGCTGCTTCGTAAAAATTTGTCACAATTTCAGAACAAAAGCATAACGATACTGAACAGTACGACCCATCTACGACGCTTGAAGATAATTTACTATTAAATACTATATTAGAAATAGAAGGAAATGAGACATTAGGTAGTATAGATGAGATTTACTTAACCAAACTGGCTATAGCAACAATGACGAATACATACAATGAATGGCAAATGGATTCGTTTACTACACAAACATATTTCAATTCGAAGCAGAGGAGAGAAGTTGTTGATATTGTAGATGTCATTAAGTTCCACGCCAATGATAGTACAGTTGACATTGTACCTCAAGTGAAGACAACACAAAAGTCAAGTTTCGTGCAAAACACTTTAAAGAATACCGCAAGCGCAACGGAACCCTTGCAAACAGAAACAACAACAGAAGTTACAAAATCCACTCAAACAGAACATGAACTTAATTGGATCGGAGGACCAGCAATTTCCAACATGGAAGATTTGGCTAATTTCATTGCTAAGCCAGAAAGTAAGTTGAATTTTAAAAGAATAATTGAATAATATTCAAATTATTTACTCGAGATCGTATATTTGCAGATATCAAACTCATTGAAGAACTACTTAAGAAGGAAAGGGATTTTTATATTCATGCTAACAATGAATTTAATGAAACAACCATCTCTAATGAAACATCTATAGTTTTATTAAATGGCACACAAGTTTCAAATGCTACTGGCGTCTCTCAAGTTCCAATTATCATTGATGATTACGAAAATAGTTTTACTGGTGTGTACGAAGTCCAAAGGATGTGTGTCGTAAAATCAATGGAAGTTTAATTGATTCTAATATTGATCGTGTTATAGTTGTAGATCCTAAAATAGTGGACGATGTAACAGCTTTGGATATACATGAAACCAAAATGTATTTCAATGAATTATTAAATAGTCTTAAGCTGGAAGATTCAAACAGGAGTGACAACGAGACCGGTAGCGGCAGCAGTAGTGGTAGCGGCAGTGGTGACTTTGAAGATGATGACAGTGAAAAACATCCAGATTTTAGCAATATGACAGAATATTTTTATAATGATCCCATTGACCGTAAGTTTGAAGAAGAACACTTAACCACGTAATTAGGAATGTTTCCTTTTTAATGTTCTTTTGGTGTGTCGAAAATAATGCTATTTTTACTGACTCTAGACTGAAGTTATTGTTTAGAATTTCAAATCAGTAATTATTGTTGCTTGTTCACAGCTGAAACGGTTCGTCAGTTACAAGAGGCTTTGGAACAAAGTGAATATGAAATGGAACAAAAAAAAGGGAAACAAGTAAAGGTATGAAACGTAATTAGGTACTTTATAACATGGAAGAGAGTTAGCTTTTAGCCTAATTTCTTCGGGTATTATTTATTTTATCAAAAATTGCATCAACGCTTACAAGGGTTAGTCTTTTTTCCACCACCGATCTATATATAATATATTAATGATTATTTGCTCCCATGTATTATTTATAACTCTTTACCAAGGACGTTTAATTGCTTTATTTCCTAAAATGTCTACATTTTATTCCGAATACCATTACCAAAATTTTCCTCTGAGGAAACAAAAAAAAAGAATACTTATTAACTGACTGTCCTGCACCAGGTACGAAGAGACTTGCGCGACAGTAGCGAGAGCGATAGTCACCAAAAGCCAACAACACCACGTGGGAATGAGGTTCCAAGCAACAAACCAAAAGATGGTAATTCACTGTTCGGTTTTTTTAACTTCGTGCCTTCTATGTCGGAGACACCCAACGAATATTCCAGTACAGCTAGCCACGCCATCCCGTCTCTTGTGATAGTTTTAGCCTTGTGTTTGTAAATGTCTTAGGTATATTTTAGATTTGTATTTTCCTTATTATTACTGTTTCGTTTTTCTTACAAATAAAGGTTTTTACATTATTATTTGGTTCGTTTTATTTGTCCTTGTAAGTAATTTATTGGAATAATAATACTAACTTCTTGCTTCTACGAACCGTGTTGGATCTGATGCTCTTGTCTTGATAACTGATAATCTTGATAAATAAAACTTATTGAATCGTAGAAATTTATTAAAACAATACTTGATATTAAAATGACTTGTGTGCACACTTGTACGGTCAATCGCGAACTGAACATAACTAATAAGTAAAGCGTTGAATGTGCAAACAGTCCAATTGCAATTATACAAATTCATGTACTTTGTACAAACCGTGTTAATAATAACTTAGGATTTTATTGTTATGTTTTGAGTCCCATCTAATATACCGGTTTTGCATAAAACAAAACATACAGCATTGCTTTGAAGAAGCAGTCGTATACTTTCAGCTCCATCTATGATCGACGTTAGTAAACACGTAGTTTTCACCTAAAGGTAACTAGATGGCGTTAGGGTGCCCCAGCAAGACGCGCCGGAGCGTTAGACTTCGAATGTCATAGTCTTCACCAGGAAGAACTTCCGGCAATGCTGTATGTTTTCCCTCTCGGCACATAATATCGGTTTTGTTTTATGCAAAACCGGTATATTGATGTGCCTCCGGAAAACATACAGCATTGCTTTGAAGACGTGTTTGTTATCTGCTGGTGAAATGTATGTGCATGTAACACAACGCTATTTCTTGGATCAAAGACATAAGCTTCGGTTTGTCAAATAAAAATTCTTCACTAGGGGGTATGTTACTAAGTGCAGCTTGAATACTTTTATCGGAAATTTCGTTTATTAGTCTTTTGCGCCTGGTTTCAATGCACTCAGCCCTCTTGCCGCAAATTATTTGTAACGTCTGCTCAGATAATTTGTAGGACTGTGATGTCGTCCCAAACGACTCCGTAATTTTGTTAAAAAGATTATCGGGTATTAATTCCGTAGGATTGCCGTGTGCCCAATCAATTATCCCTTGTAAGCCGGACTGTAACAGTTCTCTTTGTTGCAATAAGGCGTTGGTGGTGGCATACTTTTTATAGAGGTAGAATACTTTTTTTTTACTTTTACCGAAAATCACAAACGGGATAACGGGGAAAATGGGATTGCGCGTACGAAGTCGCGGGCAGAAGCTAGTATGTATATAAATGTAGACTAATTTGAATAGGTCTCAATAAGGTTTGGAATATTATTACAGGTGTTTTATTTTCAAATATAAATTCATGTATTCATTGTAGATCACAGGTAGGTGTAATACAGTTGTAATCATAATTTGGTTGAGTTCAGCTGTGTCCTGCCCATTGGGCGTACAGTAGTTGCTTGTGGAATGTTCTATTCATACAATCACACTGTCTGATAGGCGCCATGAATGTGGTGGAAGCCAAACAGTCAGTGACTTCTCCCGCCTCCTTGGGTGAGGCGAGAGGGTGTGTCAGACTCTTACTGAGTTCAAACCACCCTGAGCCTACTCCTGCTCATCGAGTCGTACCCTCAGCACCCCGTTAAGTCTTACGCGGCTTCGCATCGGGCATTAGCCCTACAGGGCCCCATCCGTGTTGGTCTCATGGCTCTTCGAAACGCACAGTTCTAGTCGGGCGGCGAACTACCCTTGATCGCCGTCCGCAGGCCCAGAAGGATCACGATACAGTGAATATTCTGAGAGCCAACTGAGAGCTAACAAGAACGTTAACAAGGTTTGCTTGAACAGCCTTTGGTTACAGCTAATTCTTCCAAAATTCTTCATGCACCACAAAAACGGAACCAAAACCATCACCAAAGAGTATAAAAAATATAGGGGAAACCGCAAAGAGTGTAGTATGCATAGATAGAAGAAGGAAACCGTCACAATGACTTCCCAAATACTTATGACTCTGTGACAATGACAACACACAAGGCACAAGTGTAAATACATAGATTTTGTTTAGAAAATCCCTTTACTTAATATTTGGAATGTAGAAAATTTACCAATGTTATTAAATGTATAACGTGAAAAAAATGTTCGGCGTAGTGGTTGTATTGTCCTGTGTGCTCGCACTCGCTGCCACCAACTCCGTCAACTACTGCGGCGCCAGCATGTGTGAAGGCAACAATACACATACTTACTGCCAATATCCAGTAAGTTCCAAATATTGAAAAAGTGATGCTTGCATATTACGTGTAGTATTTATATTTTTGTAGAGATTTTCCCTTAGAAACGTTGTCCACAGAGATTTCCACTTGTAAGGTATCCGTTTAGTTCTATATAAACACATAATTAGGTATTTAGTATTCTAATCAAAGTAGACTGATTTCGAACCCAAGCAAAGGGGGGGAAAAAGGGTGTGAAATTGTATTTTCTCTAATCTTATACTCTTATACAGGATAACTTGTCGCGGATAACCTAACGGGTAACCGGGGCTCCGGCTCGACGTGCAGGAGAAGGAACGGGGTGGTTTTTAGTCAGTAAGAGTCTGACACTATCACTCGCCTCACCCAGGCGGGAGCAGTCATTCGATGATTTTCCCCACTTAAAAAATAAAAAAAATACAGGATGACTTGTAACTCGACGTGTTCCTATCTGGAGATGATAATGAAACTAATTTCCTACAAAAATAGACCTAAGGTCCCTCGTCCGAAAGTGGCTAGTTTCTGAGATATTCAACATCTTCGGTTTTGGTAAAAAAATCCCGATCTAACTAACTACAAAAACATCAATAAATAAAAATCTACTAGTTTGATTTTAGTTTTTGTTAATTGTCAATACATCATCTCAAGTGTGCGAGAGCCATCTGAGCCATGCACATTGGCACGAATGGGTCGGTTCGACCCGAGTGATACCACGGCCTCATAGAAAACCGATGTGAAGCAGCGCTTGCGTTGTGTTTCGTCGTGTGAGTGAGGTTACCGTAGGCCCAATTACCCTCCTCTTCCCCAATCTCCCCAACCCCTGAATCCCCAACGATCCTCAAACTCCTAATCCCCAAAAGGCTGGTAACGCACTTGTAACGCCTCTGGTGTTCCAGGTGTCCATGGGCGACGCCGATTGCTTACCATCAGGTGATCCGTCTGTTCGTTTACCGGCTTATGCCATAAAAAAATATATTTGTTAATACTAATACTTTCAGAAGTATGATTCATTTTAAAATAGCAAGTAAATTAGTATCAAATTTTGTTTTGAGTCACTAATTTGGTCAATAGAAACCCGAATTTATTTAAAAAATTCATATTATCCTAAGCTTATAAACTATTTAAAAAACTTCTTTAGTTTATTAGGTACCCAAAAACATTAAATTATTTATAAAATTCTCAAAAATAATATAAATAACTTCATGATAAGTAATGTAAAAGGAAAACGGGTAATTCCAAATTTATTAAATTTTGTTTTAAGTGGCCTTCCCTATGATGAATACATGCCCGCATATGGGCTATTTTTGTAGGAAATTAGTTGTATTACCACGCTGCGGTCAATAGCCGCCGAGAAGAGCGGTCTAAACCGCATGGAAGTAGCTAGTGTTAATTTAAAACTGGTATCATTAAATTTTTTAGTTCTCCATAGGCCTTTTTCAGTACACCACTGAACAGGCACGTTTTGGTTCGACTCTTATAACGAGGTATTCCATTACACAGGAAGGCCCCAGTGATAAATGCGAAAGCTATACATACGGTGGCCTAACGGCAGAGGAGAAGAAGAGGTTGTTGGACCGGATCAACGGCTTTAGGCTTTCTATGGCATTCGGAAAAATGCGCAGCTTTCCTCCAGCTAAAAATATGTTGAAAATGGTACGATACTCTGAGGACAGAAATGTTGTTAAAAGACACGAATCCAATTAAAGACTGTTTTGCATTATCTTACATAATATCACGCCTAATACCATCCCGAAGGGGCAGAGGTGCACATTATGTCACTGTACAATGTAACACCCACTTTTCACTATTTATGTTATGAGTCCCTTGTAATAGGGGGTGAGCCTATTGCCATATACCGGGCACAATTTCAGACTCCGTGCTACTACTGAGAATTTTCTAAAACCCCAGTAATACTTTGCTCGATCCGGGAATCGAACCTGAGATACTTTGCCCGGCAGTCGCACTTGCGACCACTCGGCCAACGAGGCGGCATTATCTTTTTATAAGTTTTATTAATATAGTGACTACATTTATTTAAAATTTGTTTAGTTTCAATGTATTTTACTTTGTTTAATTTCATTGTGGCCTGAACACCCTCAACAATGGACTCCGTCATTTCTGTTCCATAGTTTATTCAGACAATCTGTATCTGGTCTAGCTAAATACGAGTCTTTATCTCATATTATCGTTCAAACATACTGGCACGTTCTGCATCACACTAAAATTATAAATGGGAATGTTTCATTTTTTGGATATTTGTCCGTCAATCACGTTGAACCTACTGAACGGATTTTGATGAAATTGTGATTGGTATACAGGTACAGGTATGGGCTAATTTAGGTGATAAGATACGTTTTATCCCGATTAAATGTTCCCATGGGATAAAACAGGAATAGGCGTGTAAAAATATAGTTGTAATAGATTAGGTATAATATCTAAGTCATTTTATTGTTTAATAGCGTTGGGTCGAGGAGCTGGCTCGAGAAGCCCAGCGCTGGGCAGACCAGTGTCGTCCGCCGCAACGCGTCGAAGAATACGACACTTGTCGTGACCTATGTAAGTTTTGAAACTGAGGTTATGTGTACGTAGCTTCGTGTCATTATATTCTTTCTCAAAAGTAGTTTGTATTGAAGATGGAAGCCACTACAGTTGAGGGGTGTAGTGGGTTGTCCGCATTGTTCTCTGTCAGTCGACCTGTTAAGTAGTAGTTCAATTAACTCGTCAACAGTTCACAATCTCTCCTCCAGTGGCTTCCAGTGCCACACCCCGGAAACCACGTCGGGTCGTGGGTTAAACCTTGGTTGCCCTCCAAGTTGTAGCTTGAATAAAGCACGTTGTGTCGCCACCGGTGGCAAGGCACTTAGGCAGTTGTAGGATGGCCTTAAGACGGCAATAAGGGCTTTTGCTATTGTTCGCTAGACTGCTGCACATAGCTTCCAGTCATAGCGGTTTTCCGTTCCACTGGATTCAGTTGCGCATGGGCGAGAGAGTACTCCTACGTTTTGCGCGAACGTTTCAGCACTATAGTATACCGATCTGGCAAATTTTCGTGGTGATAGTCTAAGGTAGAAAGGTTCGGCTGGATGCAAACCGAGCTTTGTCGTTTGATAGCATCTCTCGTGAGGCCCAGGGTGGTACTGCGGAAACAGGGATATACGGATAAGTTTATAAGGCTTATTCGCCTCTTGAATGATGATGCATTGAACCGCGGAGAGTGGAGGTCACTGGTGCGACAAAAAATATCAGATTTTGAGATTCGTCGGCTTGCAAAGCTAGATGCGAAACGTGACGATATAAAAGCCCGACCACCAGCGGCAATTCACTATAATTATGTTTATGGTGTTCTCACATGTGCACTCTGTGGAAGAATATTTATGAACAAAGGTGAGTTTTCCAGCCACTTGGGAGCCCATGATAGACGCTAGTAGTCAAGAAACGGTCGTCATAGCCGAAACCGGCATGGAGGATTATTATTATTAAAAGCCAGTTGTATAGTAATGTAGCGGTTTAAACAGCTTGCTACTTATTCTTTGAAAATACCAAACTTGGTAGGTACTTCTAAACATAAGAACTGTCCAACGAAATAAACATTTCACATTTTCTTTTAGTGTTGAGAACAGTAGAAGTAATAAAAAATCGCATAAATAGCCTCAGTTACTCTCAGTATTGTGTTTTTCAGATTCCGTGACAGTCGGTCAGTGTGTGGCGTCGATGGTGGGAAAAACGCCGAGCCGAGTCGAGCGATTGGTCGACATTTGGTACATACAAAGTGTTCATTACAAAGTCAGTGTGCGCTACTACGTACCGTGAGTTTTATTATTCAAATATGATTTCAATTTGGAAAAGAAAAAATAGTACGTTGCTTAAGACAAGGAGATATGGGATCTGTACTCTAGCCCCCAGTTTTGCCAATAAGTTTGGTTTGATAAGCATCATATCAACAATCAACATACAATCGATATTATAATGTGATAATAGGTACATTAATATTGATAATATCTGCTGTTTGTCGTGGACAGTAAGACCTAATTAAGCCTAAGGTAATTGTCCACGTAACGGAGAACCTAACGGGTAACCGGGGCTCCGACTCGACGTGCAGGAGAAGGAACGGGGTGGTTTTTAGTCAGTAAGAGCCTGACACTCCTTCCCGCCTCACCCAGGCGGGGGCAGTCATTCGATGATTTTCCCCCCTTAAAAAAAACCCTAATTTATGTGCACGCTTTCGTGTATTGACAATTGCATATTTCTGAACTGTGTCCACGAAGCGGTAACGCTGCGTCAATCACATAACATAACATCACGCCTTTTATCCCCGAAGGGGTAGGCAGAGGTGCACATTATACCATTGTACAATGTAACACCGATTTTTCACTATTTATGTTATGAGTCCCATGTAATAGGTGGTGAGCCTATTGCCATATACCGGGTACAATTCCAGACTCCGTGTTACTACTGAGAATGTTTAAAAACCCAGTGATACTTTGCCCGATCGGGAATCGAAGCCGAGACCGAGACGAGGCAGTCAATATTTAGTCAAATCCGTAGATCATCGTTTTGTAAGTTGCATGCATTCGTCAAATGGCACGTTGTGAACAGTGGGTCTAATGTCACATTTTCTGTCTGTTTGTAGTCCAGGTAATAGTAGCAGATACTACGGTGATTTTGCGCAACTCTTTTGGGCGAAAAGTTTTATGGTGGGCTGTGGTCGCAGTCGATTTATGGTAAGTCCATTGTCGTTAGACTGTTCGTTCTATATTTAAAAAGTAATCAGTTTTTCTATAATAATGGTCAACACTTTTGTCTTTTGGAACATATTTGTCTTAAAATTTTTGTCAATTTTTTTTTTGTATTTTATCGTACTTATCTATAATTATAATGTAATTATAATGACTGCCTCGTTGGCCGAGGTTCGCAAGTGCGACTGCCGGGTAAGGGGTCTCGGGTTCGATTCCCAGGTCGGACAAAGTACTACTGGGTTTTTTTTATAAATTCTCAGTAGTAGCACGGAGTCTGGAATTGTGCCCGGCAATAGGCACATCCTATTACATGTGACTTCAATACATAGTATAAAACAAAGTCGCTTTCGCTGTATGTCCGTATGTATGCTTAGATCTTTAAAACTACGCAACGGATTTTGATGCGGTTTATTTTAATAGATAGAGTGATTCTTAAGGAAGGTTTGTATGTATAATACATGCATATTGCACCCGTGCGAAGCCGGGGCGGGTCGCTAGTATAGCATAAATAGTGAAAAGTACTTTTTATTATATTGTATGTATAGTATAAATTTATAGTTTTATCTTTCATTAGGCACCTTGGAAAGGTCGTGTCCAGCATGTGGAGCGTCTAGTTTGCAACGTGGCACCGCGTGGACCCCAACCGGGGCACTCAATATGGCTCCCCGGCCCTCCAGCTACTTCGTGCCCGGAAGGTTCGATGCCATCCGACACATCGAGATTCCTTTGTGAATTTGGTTAGTATCATGCTGGTCTAATAACTTCCGTTTGTATTAAATATTGGAAATAATACGTGTGTTCCAACAAGAATTTACATTGCAAGCAATACGGTGAACGATGAACATTTGAATGAAACTGAACAAATGAAGTTCTTGTTTCTTTTTTTTTAACCGACTTCAAAACACAGAGGAGGTTGTCAATTCGACTATTTTTGGTTATTGAAGTCGATTTTTTAAACGTAGTTTTTTTTATTATTTATATGATTTGTTTTCTTAACAGTGTAGGCTACATTGCCCAGTGTGGTAAAATAGAAATTAAAATTACAATTTCAGAACAAAAACAAAATAAGATTGTACCACCCGACTCATTGCAAGTACGCCGCAATTTACTTTTAAATACTATATTGGAAGTAGAAGAAAATGAGACATTGAACTATTTAGGCAGTATAGATGAGGTTTACTTAACCAAACTGGCCATAGCAAAACTGAAAAATTCATTACCGATAAAGGCACACTTCAATTTGGAGCAAAGGAGAGAAGTCAATTATAGTACAACTGCATTTGTACCACAAGTCGTAGCAGTACAACCATACGTACAGGACTCTTGGAAAATAGCTGCAAACACTACGTTAAAATTGCTAACAGAAACGTCAACAAAAGTCATAAATTCCATTCAAACAAAATATAGTCATGAACTAGATTGGATCGGACAACCAGATAATTACGATATGGAAGATTTAGATAATTTCAACGAACAAACAAAAAGTAAGTTGAATTTAACAAGTGTAATAGAATAAATATACAAATTATTTACTTGAGATCGTATATTTGCAGTTATCGAACCTACTGAAGAAATACCAAAGAGAAAAAAGAAATCTCATATTGAATATGGGTTTGTTACTACAACCAACCATGACACAACTTCTAAAGTTTTATTAAACTGTAAAGAAGATCCAAATTTCACTGACATATCCGAAGCTTCAAGTACTGTTGATAATTATGAAGATGATAGTTCCAGGGGTGTGTACGATATTCATAAAATGTATATCATAAAATTTATGGACTTTTGTTTGATTATAAAATCGATCGTGTTACAGAACCTACAAAATTGAAAATATTGAATTGAGCTTCAACCATCAAAAATGTATTTTAATTAATAAGCGAAAAACTTTTTAAGTTTGATATTTTAAACAGAAATGACAATGATAGTACCAGTGAAAGGGCCAGCAGAGACGGTGAATACGAATACGTCGAAGAACATTTTAACTGTTTTGAGGAGACAAAGTGTGACACTATGTAACCAGAAATTATTTTAAGTGATCTTTTGGTGTACTCTTATTATACGACTTTTTGGAACGAAGTTCCTTATGTCGCGCGGTACGCTGGCTAAAGGGGCTAGGCGAGCGTGATGCATTTGTTTGCAAACCAATAGCTATTTTTTAACTTATTCAATAAAGTGAAGGTAATGGGTTTTTCAAATTAGTAATAGGCTTATTTATTACCTATTCACAGGTGCATCGGATCGTCAAATAAAAGAACAATTGTATCTTAAGGAACATGAATTACAACCGAAGGGACGGAGACCAAAAAAGGTGCGATACTCGTAGTAACTTGTTGCTTTCGGTTTCAAATAATCAAAAGAAATAATTGTCATTAATATCATCATACCAGCTAGAATACGTATTCTGGTAGTGGACATCCACTGCTGAACATAGGGCTCCTATAAGGACTTCCAGATCGGCTGGTTGAAAGCAATCTGCTTCCAGCTGCTTACTTGGTACTTACTTCCAGCTACAAAGTCAAAGTCAAAGCATTTATTACAATTAAACCATAATTTGGCAATTTTGAAACGTCAACAAGTACAAAATAAATAATAGTCTGTCAGTCAGTCCGTCAGTGAAGCTAGGTAAAGCTAGGTGCTCATTCCAAAATGTAAATTCGAATGGAGAAGAATGAGCAAGAAACTCTATTCGTTACTCTTTTAAAAAAAAGTATATTCTACAATGTCTCTGATACATATTCCAATACTGTGCGTATTTATCTGAGAACAATGCTAAGACACGCTTGACGCATTATACTAATTACAAAACTTACGAAAATAAAAAACTTATAGTGCTCACATATGCATACTTCAGTCCATAAAAATAGTGTTTCTATACAAGAAAAAGGAAACTCTTTGTTTCAATAAAGAAAGACATGCTCAATGCCAAAAGGAAACTAAATTGTGTACATTAGAATGAAAGTATTAAATTACCTATTCCTGGTTCATTTTTGAATATAACTGGCAAATCATTTACATAGACTAAAAGAGAAAGGGATCCAATATTGAACCTTGAGGAACGCCCATATTCATTTCAGAGCCTGTGAGTTTCTTATCCCGTAGTGTAGTAACGGAGCGCAGAGTTTCTTATCCCATAGTGATCTAATTTCAGGAAAAGTGTTTCGTGGTCAACGCAATCAAATGCTTTTGAGAGGTCACAAAAGACACCAATAGCATCCTGTGCTTCCTCCCAAGCACCAAATATTTCCTTAATCAAAGTGATATCGGCGTCAGTTGTGCAGCGACCTTTGGAGTTTCTTGCTCGTTCTTCTCCATAGGAATCTCCATTTTGACTTTCAACCTTTTCACTGCGACCCCTTTATTATAATACTTTTTTAGTTCAAAAATCTTTATTGCTACCAACGTGCTAAGAAACACACATGAATATAATTGTGAAAAAATTATCTTGATGAAGGATCTAATGATAACTCAATTAAACTGTCAAAGACCAAGCGGTCACCGGTGACCGCAACCTATTGTTCTATAATTGTGTCTACAAAACCGGTACTCGACGAGTTAATCCAAAACTAATGATATATAAGTTAAAAAGACCTCATTCAATAAAAGAACTGTCTTACACCAGGTAAGAAGAGAACTGCCCGATGATGAGTATGTCCCTGAACCCATGTCGGGTGTAACAAGACCAAGTTATAATCCATTAGTAGCTATCCTTAAATTAATACCATCGCTGGCTGATTATAATTTAGAGAACTATCCAGAAATACGTTTCCACAAATGGATGCATGAGAGAGCTCTTAGAGGTATAGCTAGCCATGTCACTTGCGACATTTTTACCTCTGTGTTTGTCATTTTTGGACATATTTTTATACTATTTTATTTTGTATAGTAACTGTTTTTTATTCTTAAAATAAACATTTTGACATAATTATTCGACTTCTTATTTACTTAAACTTCTTCATACAAGCGAAGTAAATTATTCTTACTTCGTTATTTACAACTAGCGTCTGCCCGCGACTTCGTACGCGCAATCCCGATATTTCCCGTACACGTTCTTGATTTTCGGTTAAAAGTAAAAAATAAGTATTGGGTAAAAAGTATCCTATGTCCGTCGCCTGGTTCTAAGCTACATCCTCACCAATTTTCATCCAAATCGATATAGCCGTTCTTGAGTTATAAATAGTGTAACTAACACGACTTTCTTTTACATACAAAATAGATAACTTTTGGGTCGGAATTAAAAATGTTAGAGAGTAACGCCAGTTTTTAAAAATCTAATCACTTTAGTCAGCTGTTGAACCTCTTGACAGGTGTTGATTAAGTTGCAACGTCACGCGCGACAATGCGCGCTCTAATAGGGCATGCCATAAAATGACACCTCGTTGTAAGACTGCAAAAATGATAGCCTTTCGAAAATATACAAGTGTCCCTTAAGTCGACGATCAAATGGCACCAGGTAATCGGCATGTAATTTGAAAACTATAAGACTTGGGATTTTTTTTAAAAAGTCTGATATTTCTTAGAACCTTGCCTATCAACTTGTGCCATTCGATTGTCGACTTCAGGGACACCCTGTATAAAATAATTATGTATGGAATTGATTGTCTGTATGTCCCATTATATACAGGATGTATCGCAGGACGTAACAATCAAATCGATTAAAGGGGTTCATTTTCATTTTCTAACTTTTACATCTGAGAATGTCGATAGAATTTAATAAATATTAATGTTTTGTTTGTATAAATCGCACTTTAGAGTTGCTCGCATATTATTACTTAGAATTCGAAGGCAAAATTTTCAACCATCGGCACCATAAACAAAGAACCAAAAGCGTAACCTATAACTATATGGCGTAACCATACTTATTTTTCTCTATACTTTTTATACTCTTTGTCAAACTCTTTGACGTATCCCAATACAGGTGACATCATGGTGATAATTATATTGATATATTATTTATTATAGTTTATTTTATTCATTACGGGTGACACTATATTTATTATACTCTTTGGGGTGACACAATGACACACAGTGTAAGAAATAAAGTAAAATGCGGAAAATTAATTTATTATAATGAAATGTTTGGCGTATTAGTCGTATTGTCCTGTGTACTCGCACTCGCTGCCACCCGCGAAGTCAACTACTGCGGCGCTAGCATGTGTGGAAACACCAATGCACATACATTTTGCCAGTATCCAGTAAGTAATAAGTAATATACCTAATGCATGCTATCATATCTGATAGGCCGCGCGATGTTTGGATCTTCGGGTGGAAGTTTTCTTAAGCTGTGTCTAATTTATGAAGAAATAAGAGTCTAATATCTTTCTACTAAATAACATAACATAACATCGCGCTTTTTATCCTCGAAGGGGTAGGCAGAGGTGCACATTATGCCACTGTACAATGTAACACCCTCTTTCCACTATTTATGTTATGAGTCCCATGTAAAAGGGGGTGAGCCTATTGCCATATACCGGGCACAATTCCAGACTCCGTGCTACTACTGAGAATTTTTATAAAACCCAGTGATATTTTGCCCGACCCGGGATTCGAACCCGAGACCCCTTGCCCGGCACTCGCAATTACAACTACTCGGCCAACGAGGCGGGCTGTGTCTACTAAATATATTTTTAATATTCATATCCCATTATCATCCCTGTTATTTAGAAAGGCCCCAGTGCTAAATGTGAAGGCTATATACACGCCAGGCTTAGAGGACATGAGAAGAAGACTCTCTTGGCGCGGTTTAACAGTTACCGGGCATCTGCAGCACGAGGTGCAATGCTCGGCTTCCCTGCATCTGAGAATATGTTGAAATTGGTACGATAATCTGTAGATATTGTAGAAGGATAGTGTGTAACAGGACCGCTCTCGAAAACGCCGACAACAAAAGATATTTTTACAATTTCTATAGTTTTTGTTTTCGTGTTATTCATGCTATATCAGCCTTGACCGGTTGAATACAACTATTATTACTTAAAACAAACATCGATTTTCTTACTTTTTTTTATGGCATAAGCCGGTATACTAGCAGACGGATCACCTGATGGTAAGCAATCGGCGTCGCCTATGGACACCTGGAACTCCAAAGGCGTTACAAGTGCGTTAACCGACTTTTGGGAATTAGGAATTTAAGGAGAAGGCGAAGTGGGGGGGGGGGGTAACTTCACTCACACGACGAAACACAACGCAATTGTTGTTTTACGCCGGTCTTCTGTGAGGCTGTGGTAGTCCTCCGGTCGAGCCGACCCATTCGTGCCGAAGTATGGCTCCCCACGCTTTAGAATATTATATCTTCCTATTATTATTGATGCGGAAGAATGTGAGTTTGTGTGTTTTTGCGTTTGTCTGTATGTTTGTTATTCAATCATGTCGAAACGGCTGCAGGGATCGGGATGAAATTTGGAACAGACATAGATTATGCTGTGGAATAACGCATAGGGTAATCTTTACCCCCGGGAACGCGGCAATCCGCATATAGAAGCCAGTACAATATACATGTGATGTGAAAGACTTAAAGATAATAACCAATTCAAAGATTTATTTGTAACTAGCTTTTACCCGCGGCTTCGCTCGCGTCACAAAACGATCAAAAGTAGCCTATGTGACATATACCAATACACACAGCACCATCTATACCAATACTTTTGTTTTCCCTCGGGAATATCAAATTTTTTCCGAATTAAAAAGTACCCTCTTACTTAATCCGGACTTCTAACTTTACGTCTGCAAAAATTCAAAGCAATCGGTTTAGTAGTTACGGCGTGAAAGTGGAACAAACAAAGAAACAAACTCACTTACCAATTTAATAGTAAGGATACCTATAAGTATATTAATAAAGTTGCTTAATTACCAGCAATGGATGGAGCCGCTGGCTCGTGAAGCCCAGCGCTGGGCAGACCAGTGTCGTCCGCCGCGACGCCCCGAAGAACACGACACTTGTCGTGATCTATGTGAGTTTTGGAACTGAGATTATGTGTACATAGCTTCGTATTATTATATTCTTTTTATAAAGTAGTTTGTATTGAAGATGGAGCTAGTTATACATAATATATTATTACAGTGGCCTACATCCCTCGAAAAAGGTGAATGTGGCGGTAAGCTCTGCGTTCACCTTTATACAGCGAATTATCTTATATTTTGAAAGAGTCTGTCTCGTTAGCTGAGTGGTCGCAAGTTCGATTCCCGGATCGGGCAAAGTATTATTGGGTTTTTAAAAAATCTCAGTAGTAGCACGGAGTCTGGAATTGTGCCTGGTATATGGCAATAGGCTCACCCCCTATTACATGGGACTCATAACATAAAATAGTGAAAGGTGGGCGTTACATTGTACAGTGGCCTTAATTGCCGTAATGTGCACCTCTGCCAACCTCTTCGGGGATAAAAGGCATGATGTATGTTTTGAAATATGTAAACTAAATAGGTACCGTACTTCACGAAAGGAAATTAACTCCTCACAGATGTCCTTGTTTAAAATGGTGCGGGATAATGGGAATCACAGAAAAAACTCCATAATATATATTCGGTATTAAGTTCACCTAATCTACTATACATTAATGTAACCTAAATGTTTATCATTGAATTGTTAATAAAACTATTGTGTTTACCGTCAGATTCCTTGAAGGTCGGTCAGTGTGTTGCGTCGGTAGTGGGAGATACGCCAATCAGAGTCGAGCAATTGACTGACATTTGGTACATACAAAACATATTTTACAACTACAGTGTGAACTTCTACGTACCGTGAGTTATATTATTCAAATGTGATTTTGTACAATTGTACATCATCAACAGCCTATAAATGCCCACTGCTTAGCAAAGCCTCTTCTCACACGGAGAAGGTTAGAGCGTTAATCACCATACTTGTACAATGTAAGAATTATTTTTGAA